GGGGGTTCGTACTGGTTTCTACTGGGAATGAGGTTCATACTGGTTTCTACTGGGAATGAGGTTCATACTGGTTTCTACTGGGAAAGGGGGTTCATACTGGTTTCTACTGGGAGGGGGGTTCATACTGGTTTATACTGGGAGGGGGGTTCATACTGGTTTCTACTGGGAGGGGGGTTCATACTGGTTTGTACTGGGAGGGGGGTTCGTACTGGTTTCTACTGGGAATGAGGTTCATACTGGTTTCTACTGGGAGGGGTGTTCATACTGGTTTATACTGGGAGGGGGGGTTCATACTGGTTTATACTGGTTCATACTGGTTTCCTCTTGGCCCCGCCCCCAGGCAATGACGTCACTTCCTCTCCCGGAGCGGATGGTCCTGGTGACCCACCTGGATCTTTCCGGAAACCTCCTGAGGACCCTCCCCCCAAATTTGGGGGCCCTGCGGCGCCTCCAGGTGAGACCCCTCCAAAAATCCACCCCAAATTCGCCTCAAAATCGGCAAAATTCGCCCCAAAATTCACCCCAAAATCAGGAAAAATCTGCCCCAAAATTGGTGAAATTTATCCCAAAATTCACCCCAAAATTCGCCCCAAAATCAGCAAAATTCACCCCAAAATCAGTAAAAATCTGCCCAAAAATCGGTAACATTTATTCCAAAATTGACCCCGAAATTTACCCCAAAATCAGCAAAATTCACCCCAAAATTCACCTCAAAACTTGCAAAATTCACCCCAAAATCAGTAAAATTTATCCCCAAAATTCACCCTGAAATTTGCCCCAAAATCAGCAAAATTGGCCCCAAAATTCACCCCAAAATCAGGAAAAATCTGCCCCAAAATCGGTGAAATTTATCCCAAAATTCACCCTGAAATTTGCCCCGAAATCAGTGAAATTCGCCCCAAAATTCACCCCAAAATCAGTAAAATTTATGCCAAAATTGACCCCGAAATTCACCCCAAAAGCAGCAAAATTCGCCCCAAAATTCGCCCCAAAATCAGTAAAAATCTGCCCCAAAATCAGTAAAATTTATCCCAAAATTGACCCCAAAATTCGCCCCAAAATCGATGAAATTCACCCCGAAATTCACCCCAAAATTCACCCTGAAATCAGTAAAAATTTGCCCCAAAATCGGTGAAATTTATCCCAAAATTCACCCTGAAATTTGCCCCAAAATCAGAAAAAATCTGCCCCAAAATCAGTAAAATTTATCCCAAAAATTCACCCTGAAATTCACCCCAAAACTGATGAAATTCGCCCCAAAATTCACCCCAAAAATAAGTAAAAATCCGCCCCAAAATCGGTAAAATTTATCCCAAAATTGACCCTGAAATTTGCCCCAAAATCAGCAAAAATCTGCCCCAAAATCAGTAAAATTTATCCCAAAACTTCACCCTGAAATTCACCCCAAAATTGATGAAAATGGCCCCAAAATTCACCCCAAAATCAGTAAAATTTATCCCAAAATTGACCCTGAAATTCGCCTCAAAATCACGAAAATTCACCCCAAAATTCACCCCAAAATCAGTAAAAATCTGCCCCCAAATCGGTAAAATTTATCCCAAAAATTCACCCCGAAATTCGCCCCAAAATCGGCGAAATTCACCCAAAATTCACCCCAAAATCAGTAAAAATCTGCCCCCAAAATCGGTAAAATTTGCCCCAAAATTCACCCCGAAATTCGCCCCAAAATCAGCAAAATTTATCCCAAAATTCACCCCAAAATCAGTAAAAATCTGCCCCAAAATCAGTAAAATTTATCCCAAAAATTCACCCTGAAATTCACCCCGAAATCAGTGAAATTTCCCCCAAAATTCACCTTAAAATCAGTAAAATTTATCCCAAAATTGACCCCGAAATTCACCCCAAAATCAGCAAAATTCGCCCCAAAATTCATCCCAAAATCAGTAAAAATCTGCCCCAAAATCGGCAAAATTTATCCCAAAATTCACCCTGAAATTTGCCCCAAAATAGGTGAAATTCACCCCAAAATTCACCCCAAAATCAGTAAAATTTATCCCAAAATTCACCCCAAAATTCACCCCAAAATTCACCCCAAAATCAGTAAAATTTATCCCAAAATTGACCCCAAAATTTACCCCAAAAGCAGCAAAATTCACCCCAAAATTCACCCCAAAATCAGGAAAATTTATCCCAAAAATTCACCCTGAAATTCGCCCCAAAATCAGCAAAATTTATCTCAAAATTGACCCTGAAATTCACCCCAAAATCAGTAAAATTTATCCCAAAAATTCACCCTGAAATTCACCCCAAAATCAGCAAAATTCGCCCCAAAATTCACCCCAAAATCAGTAAAATTTATCCCCAAAATTCACCCTGAAATTCACCCCAGAATCAGTGAAATTCACCCCAAAATTCACCCCAAAATCAGTAAAAATCTGCCCCAAAATCAGT